CCTCAGGAAGAAACATCTTGTGTGGGCGTCATCTTATTTTACTGCATAAAGCAACTTAACAAGAATGTTTGTGTAGGCCAGTTGCTGTGTTGGTGCAGAAACATCATTAGTCACATTAGAATAATGATGTTACATCCCTTGGTATTTGTTATTATGTATCACTGAATTGGTAAAATGTTGTACTTTAATGCAAAATGGGAATAAAATTGAGGGTTATAACAAGGTTAGTGATTTTTTTAAGCCAATTGTGGTGAGAGGTGAATTGTTTGGAATTTAAAGGGAAACTGTTTAGTGTGTGTGTCCTCAGTGAAGTGTATCAGTCTGTGCAGTAGCTTCCAGCTGCAACATCAGTTCAGTTTCTGTTCAGTCTCAATGAGGGAGGTTTTTTTGTACGACGCTTTTTCAGTGTGTGACCACAGCTTGAATGTTGATTATGTGGCCACTCTGACAGTAGTAAATTGCAGCCAGCAGGTTGGAACCTCGTTTCTCTGTGCATGCACTCTCTTCACATTGTGTCTGTCTCCTCCTCCAGTGGGTCGAGTCGCCCCCACCCTGACGGTGCTGGCCCCCTCCAGCCAGGAGCTACAGCAGGGGAAGGCCACTCTCACGTGCCTGGCCAACAAGGGCTTTCCCTCAGACTGGAGTCTGACCTGGAAGGTGGATGGCAGCAGCAGTGGCAGCAGCAGCTGGGAGGAGGCCAGGAGCCCCGGGGTGCTGGAGAAGGACGGGCGCTACAGCTGGAGCAGCACCCTGAGGCTCCCTGCAGACCAGTGGAGGAAGGTGGGCTCTGTGACCTGTGAGGCCACCCAGGGCGTCTCAGAGACTCTGAGGACAGACCAGTGTTCCCACTACTCATCTGACTCACTGGGAATCTGCTAATGGTTTTACTCTGCTACTGCTCTCAGTCTGCTTCCTGGTCTCTTGCTGTTTTTGACATGATTCAGTTGTAATATTTGTGAGTTCATTGTAGTGTTTCTGTATTATTTCAGTGTTTCCAGTTAATAAACATTTCTTCATTAATGAGGTTGTCATTTGTTTTCATGTTCATTATTATATATTACACAATTCACAGTGAGTGTTTGACGAACCCCGGCAGAAATCACCAGCACACATGCCGGTGAGCTTGCAGGGCTCAGATATTGAGATTGTGGACACCTTTAAATACCTGGGTGTCCACCTTAACAATAAGCTGGATTGGACCAACAACACAGATGCCCTGTACAGGAAGGGCCAGAGCCACCTCCACTTATTGAAGAAACTGAGGTCTTTTGGTGTGTGCGAGGCACTCCTTCAGACATTTTACAATACTTTAGTGGCCTCGGTAATTTTTTACGCTGTTGTGGGTTGGGAAGGAGGTAGCACAGACAGGGGCAGAAAGAGGCT